CCACCACACTTGGACAGGATTCAGAGGGCAACTGTAACAAAACACTAGAATATCACTCAACAAAGAAGCCAGATATCTGGGGGAGACCAGATCTACACCAAGAAACTTCAGAGGTCATAATTGTGGATGCATTGATGCTAGCACAAAAACAAAAACATGAACAAGCAACAATACACCTCTCCTAGAAGTTAGAACCCTACTGTAATGGCCCTGGTTATTCTGTCCTCTAGCTGAAAGCAATTAGCTGAAGAACAAAACAACAGATTCAAAATAACAGTTATGAAGATATTCAAGGACCTTAAAATGATATGAATGTGTAAATGAAGACCACAGAAATACAAACAATTGAATAAATAATAAACATTTTGAAGCAAATAAGTGGATTTTAACAAAAAAAATAGACTCATTAAGGAAAACTCAAATTGAAATGAAACTGGAAGTGTAAAACTCAGGATATTGAACAAAATATATTAGAAAACAGGATTTATCTTTCTGTTATATCCAAGAAACATGCCTTACCATCAAGGACAGACATTACGGTAAAAGAATGGAATAAGGTGAATAAAATGTAATTAATAAAAGTTTTAAAAAAAGAATGGAATAAGATATTCAAACAAACGAACAACAACAACAAAAAAAAAAAAACAAAAAAAAGCAAGCAAGCACAGATATTTTAATATCTAGAAAAATATACTTCAAACCAAAACTGATCAGCCAGAAGAGATAGAGCAGAACATTACATTTTGTTGATTTGGGAAAAGGTAGCAGAGTAGTAATAGTTAAAATCTAAGAGCCTTTACTATGAACTGAAGTTCATGACATCAGCCATACCCGTGGTGACATTCTACAAGACTCGATGCCTGACTAGGACTCTGTGACCGTGGAGAAAAGAAAGCTGCCTATCCAGAGCCAGATGATCCTGGGCCACTTTCAGTTCCTTTCAAAGCCATTCCTGCTCACTCCCGTGTCTGACCTAACCTTGCCGTTTGGATCCTGTGAACCCCCAAAGTGTGCTAGTGGATTGCTAGCTAACAAGAGCTAATTTTGATGTCGGGTGGTAGCATCTGAGACCCCTAGTACATACTTACTTGGATGTAAGCTGCCTGTGGGAAGATGTATTTGGTAAAGGCCTCAATTTATAAGTTTCTTTGTCCTATAACAAAGGAAATATGTAATCGCTGTCACAATGGAATGCATCTTTCTGAACAACTTGGGTTTATGTTTTGAGGCCATGGTCATTCATTTTTTGTGTCAAATGTAAAATATCGCCTATCCCCTTTGAGGTCAGAGCTGTTTTGTGTTGGTATTATCATGAAGACATAAAGTGGCAATATTTAAAGATGGATGGGTACGTGTCCGGTGAGCTTTAGAGTGATGTGTTGGGAGGTAGCTGGGATTGTAGAAGAGGCTGTTTGTATTCTTTCATGTTGCTATTCTTTCACTATGATGGTCTCATAAGAGTTAGATACTGAAATACGACGGACCTTAATCCTAGCACTGAAAAACTGTAGCCTATACTGCCTTAAACTCTAAAGCTTAATCTGTGAAGTCAACTCTGCAATTGCCTATTTAAATTTTTATTCACCTGTTAAATCTATTCATAGAACAGTCATAAAATTCACTTTGAACATTATTTTATGAACAATCACTTGGTGAAGAAGTCACAATAAAGTACAGCGTCAGTGAATTAGATTCTTGCTTTTACTAATATGATGTGCGATAGAGTTAAAATCCATAGGGTAGCTAATTCTGTAGCAAACTAAAACCTTTAGACAATTAATTAATTAACCTCAATTTACATAATGGGCTACTGATTTGCATAGCTAATGGACTAGGGATTGATTACAGGCCATTAACAGTTATTAATAAATGGAAGGATGTTGAAAATGTATGTGTCTTCATTTTGAACAGAAGGCAAAGGTTAGTCACGAACTGTTAATAGCAATATTCAAATAAGCAGGCAGTGAGGAGATGAACACGTGCCTTTTTAAGCCTCAGGCACTTCTGAGAGGGAATTCATGAGTTTGTCAGCAGGTCTCATCCCTACATCTCCACCAGGACACACGCAAGCGTACACCTGGGCATTGGATAAAGTTCTGTTACCTTCCATTTACAGTCACACTATAATGAAGGGAATTATATTTATATATTTATGTGGAAAACTTATAATCCTTTCTATTCTGAAAACCATAGATAGTCCTTTGGAAATGCAAGGTCCTTTACCCTGAGCATACAGTACTTTTTTTTTTCTTTTAAAGCTATTTGTTTTGATGAAAAGTAAGTTAGCATTTTCAATTAACTTTTTCCATTTGTTGTGTATACAAGTCACATAATACCTTTCTTTCAGAACATTTTATCTACTTGTTTTAGCCAATACGTTATACACTACCATGCTTTTAAAACATTTTATCTATTTTTTTAGCCAACAAGTTATATAATACCATTTTAATAACACTTTATCTATTTGCTCAGCCCAATTAAGTTACAGTCTAAATTTATCTTTTATCTTCTTATTATATATTTCTTATTTTATATTTTTATCTTCTCCCTTTCTCTAAAAATGTAAGTGCTTACTAATTTTTTTTTTACTACATTCATTGAGTTCATTGTGTGTGTACATGTGAGGGTTTGTCGTAGCAATGGGACGACGAGAACAACTTGCAGGAATTCCTCAGTCATGGGTCTTGGGCTTGACAGCAATTGCCCTTCCCTGGCCTGTTCGAGGATTTTACAACATGAACAAAGGGGCTGGAGAGACGCCTCAGTGGTTAAGGGCACTTGCCACTTCCAGTTTCTAGATCCCACATTGTGGCCTACAGCCAACCATAGCTCCCATCCCAGAGGATCTGACACCTTCTTGGGCCTCCATGAACATGATGCCACATACAGACGTGCTGGGAAATGCCAAGTACACACACGATTATAGAAATTCAAAACTGTTGAAAACGTTGGGGAAGTGGTCTACTATTTTGAAATGATTTAGATTTGCCAGTGAAGTAGTACTTTGGAGGACAGTCTATTTCCTTTAATTTTAGATGCATCGTGTGTCATGAGCTTTCGAATGACTTGGATGTATCGTTACAAGCAACTGTACAGACACACACCCCTGTTTTTAAAGTAATTTATGGTAAGTAAAAGTCTTGTCTAGTATGAACTGATTGGCCTGCTCTTTAATTACCTCCCCCTGAGGGGGAAGCAGCATTACCAGGCCACAGAAGAGGACAAGGCAGCCACTCCTGATGAGACCTAATTGACTAGGATCAGAAGGAAGGAAAAGAAGACCTCCCCTATCAGTGGACTTGGGGAAGGGCATGCAGAGGGTGAAGGAAGGGAGGGATTGGGACGGGAGGAGGGAGGGAACCACGGGACAGGGAATGCAAAGTGAGTAAAGTGTAATTAATAAAGAAAAAAAAAGTCTTGTCTAGTGACAATCAGTATCACTAGACTCACGGATCCAGTGCACTTGCATATCGTATCTGCCACTCTTCCTGCCCCGGGCCCTTGCTCAGTACCTTTCTGAGGTTCAGATTTCCTCCATCTCTTCTCCTTTTCCCCTCCTAGAGATGTTGATAAATGTCATGCTCTAATAGGATATTAAAATATGATCCAAAGGTAAAAGATGAACGTTTCAGTCAACCTTCCTAATGCCACAACCCTTTAATACAGCTCCTCATGTTGTGTTGGCCCCCCTAAACCATAAAATTATTTCCATTGCTACTTCATACCTGTGATTCATACCTGAGTTATGAATCATAATGTAAACATATGCAGGATACCTGACATGCCGCCCCCGTGAAAGGCCGTCCCACCCCCAAAGGCGTTTTCACAGGTTGAGAACCACTGTTTCAGATGCTTTAGTGAACCTTTCTTTCTGCAGGTGCTTTTATGGTTTGAAGTTTGGTGAAATGTGTTTTTATGGTAACCATCTAGGTTACAACAGGACATACTGGCTATTAAAGGCTAGATGGCTTTAGTGTGAAAAAAGTAGTACATGCATGGATTTACTGTGATTCCGGTAACCTCTCCCAGCATCTGTCAGTCCTTTTTGCAAACTGATTTCTTGTTTTACCACGGGAGTAATGCTGCTGTTACAGGTCAAAGGAATATTTCAGCATCGTTGTTTCAGCTGAATCATATTCTTTATGCACTGATGGCCCTTCAGAGAATCCCTGAAACTAAATTTTAAAAGTGGGATAGTCATTTTGTCATAAAAAAAAATGCATGGAAATTAGCTGGGTGAGGTGGTGCATGGCTGTAACCCCAGCACTCAGAGAGGCAGAGGCAGGCAGGTCTCTGTGAGTTCGAAGCTAGCCTGGTCTACAAAGTGAGTCCAGGACAGCCAGAGATGCACAGAAAACACTGTCTCAAAAACAAACAAACAAACAAACAGAAAAAACCAAAGCCAAAAAAAGCATGGAAATTATAATTATCGTTAATCACAAATTTAGAAAATATGCTTTTACATAGTCTGCTCTGTCTGTTCTGTGAGTGTGTGTGTGTATGTGTGTGTTAGGAATACACATGCCTCTATATGTATGTAGCAGTCAGAGGAAATTCTCAGAAGCTGATTCTTTTCTTCCACCATAAAGATCCTGGGATCAAACTCGGGTAACCCAGGCCCTCGGTGGAAAGCGACTCCAATCACTGAGTCTTTTCTCCAGTTCGCTAGTCCCTCATTTTAAGGGCTTTCCCCTCTGCTCTCATGTAGGCAGTGTCTAGCAGTGAAGCATCCTTTGCAGTTTTGTTAACCATACAGCCAGGGCGTCAAAGCTTATGGATCCACTTATGCCAGTGAAGTGATCAGGGACAGTATTTTAAACACCATCCATAGATACTGTGCCATTGCCTCATCCCTAGCATTGCTATGCTATCTGCTAAGAAGAAAGGAAGAGGTTCCCACAGGCTCACGGGATAGCTTTATTTCACACACACGTCTCACATTCTCAAACTGGCAAAAAACAGCACAAAACATTGTCACGGTCTTACGCGGTGTAACTTACTTTTTGAGGGGACCCGGAGATTGGCGAGGACAACCTCCAGCGAATCTGCTTGCACCCGAAGCACGTAGCTGGTCCTTGTCTCGTAATCCAAAGGAGCATTCACGTAGATGACGCCTGTGACATTGTTGATTCCAAACTTATCTGGAATTTGACATACAACTCATTAGTCTCTTTACGTGGTAAGGAGAGATAGTCTCTTTAAGAGCTGTTATGGTTTCAATGGCACTAGAAAAAGCCCCAAAGAATTGTCAAGATTAAAAGGTGACAGACAGGCTTCCAGCCTTTGGGAATGTATACCCGCTGTTGGATTATCGACTTGTGTTCCCTGGGCGCTGTGCGTGAACTATAGTTTTCTCTGTACGTTGGGAGTGTGCTGGGTTCTGTGCTCAGGTGGTGGTCCTGCTGTCATCACAGTGTTAGAAGGTCCTGCAGGGCCAGCCTGCTCTGCTGACAGGTGGTCACCTAAACCCTCTGAAGAGCCCCAGGACTGTCCTTGCAGACTGCCAAGCAGCAGCCATGCTCACTTTGTAAGCCCGCAAAATAAACCAACGTATTAAATATTTATTAAATGCCCTCGGCCACCCATAATACCCCAGTCTGCCTAGGGGCCCAGAAGGGAGAACAGCAGACAACAGGTGAAATACGGAAACAGAGAGTTGTTCCTAGGATCCAGAGAATGCCTGCCGTTCTGAAAACGACTAGAAGACAAACCGCAAGGTTCCTGTTCATTGATTTGCCTGTTTGGAACATTGTGCTATGTGATCCTGCTCCTCTGGCATTTACACTTACATACGAGCCTAAAGGTTTCTTCAGGATTCCTCTGACATGAGGTTAGGCTTGTGGTACACACAGAGGGGAGAAAAGAGTCTAGAAAATATTGTCTCTTGCAGCCGAAAGAACAGTTCTTTCATTTTGGAGAGACACCACAAAAAAAGTCCCCCTAAAAGGGAAGGTACATGCCTCTGTAACTGAATATCAGACATTAGTCAGGGAGCGCAGCAACTGTAGCTAACACAACGAGGCTATTAACCAAGTCGTTAATTACATTGAGGACGGTAAGAATTACATTCAGAGAGAGGAAATAATAGTTCAATCAAAAGTCTATCAGAGTCTACATTTATTGGGTTTTGGAGAAAACACAGGCGAAATTCGCTACCTACCTTCCTCATTTCCTGCCACAATGGAGTACACGATGCTCTGATTTATGGCGGCAGCAGAAATGACTCCAACAACAGTCCCTCTGGTGGCAAGCTCGCTTACAGGAGGAGGTCTGCAGGGTGAAAAGGGCGTTTATTGTCTTCCTTCCTTCCTTCCTTCCTTCCTTCCTTCCTTCCTTCCTTCCTTCCTTCCTTCCTTCTTCCTTTACTTCCTTCTCTCCTTCCTTCCTTATTTCCTTCCTTCTTTCTTTCTTCCCTTCCTTCTCTCCTTTCTTCCCTCCTTCCTATTTCAGTGCAACGTTTATTTTTTAATGATTTATTTATTCTTAATTTATGTGCATTGCTGCTTTTTCTGTATGTATGAGGGTGTGAGGGTGGCAGACCCCCTGGAACTAGAGTTACAGACAGTTGTGAGCTGCCATGTGGGTGCTGGGAATTGAACCTGGGTCCTTGGAAGAGCTGTCAGTGCTCTCAATCAATGGGCCATCTCTCTAGCCGTAAATATTTCTAATGATTATTTTTTTATTTATGGCAACATTTATTTTTAAGAAGTAGAATTGGTAACACAAGAATGAAATTGGAACCACACAGAGAGCTATCAAAAAATCTACCGACAAACAGTGATACTTCTATACATTTTAGAACACAGTCTTCCAGTTTGCAGCTCCTAAAGCATTCCACACAAATTATTTCATAGCAGGCCCATCACATTGGTTATATTAATAGAATTCTATTTCAAAGGTCTTCAAAGCTGTATGTCAAAAATGACAGTTCTATTTCTAACACTTAGAGGGTTTTGATCAAGTGTGATTTGTATCTGCGCACCAATTTAAGATTTGTTGATCCTTTGTAATCAATGTCTCTTGACATAGTGTGCTATTTTTGCATTTCTTGCATAATATGCATGTATGTGTGTATGAATGTTCATGTCTACACGGGTGCATGCATGTGCACATGAGCGTAATATAAAAACATGTGTGCGTGAATGTTCATATGTGTGTGTGTGTGTGTGATGCGTGCATGTGCAGGGGAGTGTGCGTGTTTGTGCACTTGTGTGTGGAGCCTAGAGGTTGATCTTGATGTCAGATGTCTTCTTCCGTCACCTTCCACTTTATTTTTGAGAACGAATTCCTCAGTGAACCTGGACAGGCCGGTTTGAGCAGACTGACTAGTCGGGGAGCTCCGGTGGTTCTGCTCTCTCTACCTCCAGCACTGGGATAATCCAGTGCATGGATGGCCACAGGCAGCTTCCGCATGGCTGCTTTGAGACTAGTTTTCAAAGCTTGCTCCAAGTTCATTCAGAAATGGAGAGGGAGGTAGAGAATTTCCCCATACCTCCCGCTGCTAACAAAATGCAGAGTTTCCTCTACTTACAGGAGCCTTGTCACCACAACTAACTGCAGGCACAGATAAGCCACGCTCACCTCAGTTCTGGTGCTGCGCATTCTACGGTGCTGGGCAAACATTTTCTTACAAGTGTCAAGTAATTTGCTTTTGTGATCTAACTCTTCCTCCCAAGTGGCCTCTGACAGTCACTCCATCTTTCCAGTGTGTCTACTGTCATGTCTGCCCAGACGGTCATTTTGTTGGACTCACATGACATGCTGCTTTTCAGACTGGCAGCTTTGGCTTCGCAATATGTCCCTACTTCTCCATGTCTTCATGCTCGACCTCCCCCTTTCCTGTCACCCTGATGGTCTATAGTTTCTGTTCAGAAATAAAGGTGTGTACAAGCTTTGGTCACTAGGAATAAAGCTACTATGAGTATTCGTGTTCAGGCTTTTGTGCATCATTCGTATTTAGCTCTTTTGGAGACAGGTTCCTGGATCACGTGGTAAGAGCAGGTTCAATCTTAAAGAAGCTTCAGGAATTGTTTCTCACACTCCCTTCATCAGTGTGGCACTCTTTGCTGCCTTGAGTCCGTGACAATAGGAATTGTGACCTAACAGCCATGTAGTTTATTTTATAACATTTTAATAATAGCTTGGAATTTAGTAATATATTGTATATCATATTGCACATATGTTTATTTGAGTAATACTATTATCTGGTACTTTGGGGGCAATGTTATATTTAATGTCCAGAATTAGCAAATCATGTTAAGAATTGTGGAAGTCCCCTTAGAATATCATACCACCTACACTATTTTTTTTTATTAAAATGAACACAATATTATCCTATTATATGTTATCCTGTGCGTCCCTTGGACTGAAGTTAATAAGTAGGTGGAACCAATTTGCTAGCCCAACTTGCTGAAATAAAATACAGCTCTTGTGTTCTTCGTTTAGCAGGCTTAAGGATTTAGCCTCTGAAATGTTTCTAGCCCTTACAGTCATTATACTGCACAGCTCTGAGCTGTGACTCAGTGAGTGACTAGAATATACTACAAAATTCACATTTCTTTCCAAATCACTTATCTTATTTAAATTCAGAATTTATGCCCCCACTATGGTGTCTGTTGCTTTTTGTTGAAGTCTCAGTTCTGTGGTTATGATATAATGATGTTTACCATAACTAGACTATACTAATGTGAACTTCATGTGCTCATGCAATGCCTATGATGTTCAAAACTCACAAGTGCCTACACCATCTAACCTCATTGTCAAACACCAACAGCAACTGTGATATTAATATGTTACTCATTTCGATATACAAAAACATCCTACCGCCATTTCTCATACTTGTCACTTGTTTTTCTGTATTTGTCCTTTTCATAGCAACGTTCAGTATCTCTCCAGATTCATAGGTATTACAATATAGATTGCATGAGCAACTATGTCATGCTTCTCCTGATGCATTGTACATCAGATCATGAATGATAAATATAGTCTAGGGCACTGATGAATACTTTTGTTCAATTGCCCAGTTCTTGTGCACAACTGACTGTTCTGTAAGTCTAATAGGATCTAAGAGATACTTAACAATTAATATTTATCTCTGTGATCACCTCATATTCCATAACTGCTCTTGATTATGAATAAGAACCATTTATGTAATTTTGATAAAAAGTATAAAGTAGGTATTTATTTAGTTTTAAATCACTTATTTAATTTACTCCCATCCATTTCTCGCTTTCTTCTGTGCTTTGTGTAGTGTTGGCTCCTTCACTGGATATTTAAGAGTCTGGTTGAGAGATGCCTCTCCACTAACGATGGATGAATAAATACATCATCCTTCTTTGGACAACTGGGACATGACTCCAAGCTCAGTACTTCTGTGTGGTACATCATAGGAAAGGCCAGTGGAATTCCTGCTGAGGCGTTCCACTGTAACCATTAGAAAGTAAAGTGTTGTATTTTTTTTTTTTTTTGGCTAGAGTTCAATAATGAAAATCTGAGAGAAAAGTTTCTGATAATATCAACTGCAATGAAAACAGACCCTCTGCATTGAATTATATTATAAATGCTTCTGTGCTTGTTCTACCAGGCTGATTTCACTTATTGGAACAGTGAGTTTTATCTTATAACTCCTTTATCTAGGATATTATCAAATACATTTATGATTTTTGTGTTGTTATATTAGAAATAGAAACATACACTAAGTAGATATTTCTAAAGTAAAATATTATTGAAACAATATATTCCATAAGCAACCTAGACATGGTCACAGTATTGACTCAGTGAATTCGAAAGGCCGTGACTTTCAAATGATAATAACACACTAGTTAAGCAAGAAAAGCATTCTTAAACAAAGTTCTAAGGTTGAATTCGATCTTTTATTATACATTTTGTTGTATTTAATCTATTGAAGGAAAATGAAGACTCCTTGCTTCAGTCCTGTTGCTTGGTGGGTAACCATGTAGAAATTAAAAGGGATTAAAGAGATCCAGAGAGAGAGAGTAGGGCAAGTTCTTAACATGGTTGTCAACCATTTCCTCCTGGCATTCCTCTTTTTGAGCATTCCTCTCCTCCTACATGAGGGTCATGCACCATTAATTCCTAACCAGATGACATGGCAGTCACCTCAGAGACTGAGTGACATAACTGGAGGCATAACTCCAGGCAACTCTTGACTACATCCTTTGCTGGACAGAATGACATCAACTGCTCCAGGAGTGGTCCATATGGCAGAAAGTTGAAGGTCATGTCTTCCTGGAACCAATAGACATTATTGACAAGATCCTTTCTTGAACTGAAGTAGCCATGGGGAGTTCTTAATGTGACAACAATCCAAAAGTGGTGTTCAACCATCAGTTGGCAATGAACCTAAGCCCAAAGATCTAAAACATCCAAATCTTAACAGCAATCCTTAAGCTTAGATGGGTATCCAAGGGGAATCCAAGATGGTGGTGACCAGTTTGCACTGTATCTGAGGGGAGAGGATCAAAGATTCTGGAAACAGTGATTGGACAGGCTGCTAGATCCAGAGCATTGACTTTGTATGGACCAGAGGGGACATCCTGGGAGTTGGGGTCAATTAGATCCAGCCCCCCCTTACCCTGTGGCCCTCTCCTGTGTCTGAGAATAGCCCCCTGCCCTTTCGGATACTCCAGTAAGTATGTAACTGCGGACCTCCCCGATCCAGGGACCCTCTGCTATAGCAGCCAGATATCAGATCCTTCTCTCTCCCTTAAGGATTCCCTCAGGATTCCTGGAACAGCATCCCAGTCTCTAAGCCACATTTCTGCTGGTCACTCTTTGGAGGCCAGGTGAACAATAGAATCACATGGATCCTGGATCCAAGATAGCTAAGCCCAGATGAATCTGAGTACCAGCAGCACAGCGTCAGGCAGGCCTGTAAGCCACAGCCAAGCTCCCCTCTGCGGCACCCCACAGTTGCCACCTGCACCCGGAGCTGTTTGCTGCACCTGCTTCTATGCCAAGCCCGTGCCCCTCATCTGTGCCTGCACCTTGCCCTTTGGGGCTTGTGTGTAGACATGCTCCCTAACTTTCAATGAATCTGCCTGCGCCTGAGTTTGCACCCCACCCTTCAAGACACTAGTATCCAAATCACCAGTACCCATTCTTGAGCCCCTGGACATCTCTTCTCTTCCTGAGGAGTACTCCAGACTCCAAAGATAGGTGGATCCAGTCTTCTGTGCAGGTTCCAGGAACAAACAGCCAAGACTATAGATGACCAGATGGCTAAAGGCTGGCATAAGAATACAATCAAC